AGTTCCTGAATGGACAAATGCCATGAAGGAAGAAATTAATGCCCTTCATAAAAATGGCACATGGGAACTTGTTAATCTTCCTAAGGGAAAGGTTCCAGTTGGATGTAAATAGGTGTTCACTGTCAAGCATAAGGCTGATGGAACAGTGGAGAGGTATAAAGCTCGCTTAGTCGCAAAGGGGTTTACTCAAGTGTATGGAGTTGATTATGCAGAAACTTTTGCCCTTGTTGCCAAGATGAATTACATTAGAGTTCTTTTCTCTCTTGTTGTTAATCTGGATTGGGATCTACACCAGCTTGACATCAAGAATGCATTCTTGAATGGTGACCTTGAAGAGGAAGTTTACATGATTCAACCCCCTGGTTTTCTGGCTCAAGGCAATGAATAGAAAGTGTGCAAGTTGAAGTCCTTATACGGGCTGAAACAATCACCAAGAGCTTAGTTTAGCAGATTCCATGTTGTAGTTCAGCAGAAAGGATACAAGCAATGTCAATCAGATCACACACTGTTTGTGAAAAGAGGAGAAGGTAAAATTGCTGCCCTAATTGTATATGTGGATGACATAATTGTCACTGATGATTGGGAGGATGAAATTCAGAGGTTGAAGGCTTTTCTTGCCACTCAGTTTGAAGTGAAGGATCTAGGACCTGCCAGATACTTCCTTGGAATTGAAGTTGCCCGATCAAAGAGGGGTATCTTCATTTCTCAAAGGAAAAATGTCCTAGATTTACTTCAGGACGCTGGGAAGATGGGGGTGAAGCCAGTTGACTCTCCCATTGATCCCAACCATAAATTAGGTGATAGCCAAGGTGAACCTCTCAAGGATGTGAAACAGTTTCAGAGGCTTGTAGGGAGATTGTTATACCTTTCTATGACTCGCCCAGACATTGCATATGATGTTGGTGTCCTCAGTCAGTTCATGCATGCTCCTAGGTCCTCTCATCTTGACGCAGCAGAGAGAATCCTCCGATATCTAAAGAAGTTTCTTGGTGCTGGCCTGTTATTTCAAAAGCACGGGCATTTAAAAGTTGAAGTTTATGCAGATGCAGATTGGGCTGGATCCCAAAGTGACAGAAAGTCTACTAGTGGCTACCGCACCTTTGTAGGAGGGAACCTTGTTACAAGGAGGAGTAAAAAGCAAAATGTGGTGGCTAGATCCAGTGCTGAAGCTGAATATCGTGCTATGGCCCATGGGGTAGCTGAAGGCATGTGGATAAAGAATTTGTTGAGTGAATTGGGTTTCCAAGTGGACAAACCTATGACTCTATTATAACAAAGCAGCTATAAGCATTGCTGCCAATCCAGTGCTACATGATAGAACAAAACACATCGAAGTTGACAAGCATTTTATCAGAGAGAAAGTCATCACAGGCAAAGTGTGTACTCCCTATGTCAACTCTGAGAACCAACTTGTAGACATCTTTACAAAGGGTCTAAATCATTCTAGACATCATGATCTTTGTGACAAGTTGGGCATGATTGATATCTATGCTCCAACTTGAGGGGGAGTGTTGACAGATGTTGTTGTACCCAGGTTTAGTACCGCAAGGGTACTGTTGTAATTTTCTCCTTCTTTATGTTGTACGACTAGACTAATATAAATAATAACTTATGCTCTCACCTACAGAGTTCTGTAGGGGCTTTCAGTCCTCTCTCCTCTCCTCTCCTCTCTCCCTCTCTTCTCTCCTCTCTTCTCTTCTCTTGCTCTTGCTCAACAGATGTATCAGTACTTATAACGGTACTCCCCCTATTTTTTTATTTCTATGGTTTTCAATTTCATTTTTAAATATATATATATATATATTATTTTAAAAAATGGGTTCCCGAAAACACATGTAGACATGTGTATTGGGGCGCCAAAGTTACAATACAATACACCCGATACGGGGCGTATCATATCAAWGTTTTGATTCTTGATTGAATCCTCGAAGATTTTAGAACCTGAACCAATAAGCAAGGGAAGAACTTAAAATTTTGTCTAATAAACACATTTTCTTCTTACAGATCTTCTTCTTCTTCCACCTTTTCTTTTCTTCTTTTCCTATAACAATAGTAGGGGTTCAGCCCTTATATTTTTTGAATTTTCTTTCCTTTGTTCCTTTTCTTCTCATAAAGTGTTGATTTTCTAAACTGAAAACATGAAATTTATACTTCTCTTATGAAAATTATGGATAATTATTAAGGAAAGATGGTTATGGAACCTAGGAAACTACCCTAGGATATATGGTTTTACTTAAAAAAAATCCATTGCGTAGGTGCCCGCCTAGGCAACAAGGCACCCCCTGTCACCTAACCTCGCCTTGGCTCCTTAAAAACTATGATGGCAATATTGAGTGCTTCAAAGCTCGACTTATTTCTAAGGTATATTCTTAGACCTATGGTGTGGACTATTCAGAAACCTTCTTTCTTGTGGCTAAAATAGGTTTTATACGAGTGCTCATCTCTTTGGCTGCCCACTTTGATTGGCCCCTATTTCAACTTGATGTTAAAAATGCTTTCCTCCATGGTGACCTTCAAGAGGTTTATATGGAGCAACCTCCTAAGTATGTTGCTCGGGGGCGTCAGGGTAGGTGTGCCGATTGAATAAGGCTATCTATGGGCTAAAGAAGTCACCACGGGCATGGTTTGGCCATTTTAGTAGTGTGGTACAATATTTTGACTTGCAATAATGCAGTGTTCATCATTCTATGTTTAGTAGGGACTTTTCATTTGGGAAAATCATTCTAGCAGTGTATGTTAATGATATTGTTCTCACTGGCAATGATGCACATGGAATTAATGAGTTGAAACAGTTCCTACAACATCATTTTCAAACTAAAGATCTTGGAACCTTGAAGTACTTAGAATTGATCAAAGTGGGGAATCTCTATGTCCTAGCTAAAGTATGTTTTGGATATGTTGGATGAAATTGGGTTGTTGGGATCCAAGCCAATTGAAACTCCCATGGATCCCAAAGTGAAGATGACTGATAGTCAATGAGAGCCATTAGAAGACCCTGCAAGGTATCGAAAACTAGTAGGCAAGTTGATCTATCTTACCACCACTAGGCTTGACATCTCCTTTAGTGTTGGAATCCTTAGTTGATTCATGCAGAATCCAACAAGTGCTCATTGGGATGGTGTTATGATGGTGTTGAAGTATCTAAAGGGTGCTCCTAGTTGAGGGCATTTGTATAAGAAAGGGGGAGATGTCTCTTCTAGGGTATTCAAATGCAGATTGGGAAAGGTCTCTAATGGATAGGAAGTCTACTACAGGTTATTGGAAGAGTAAGAAGCAGAGAGTGGTTGCTAAGAGTAGTGCTAAAGCCGAATACAGGGTAATGGCCCATGCTACTTGTGAGCTAGTTTGGTTGAAGCATCTTCTTTTGGAGATGAATATCACAACTTGTCAACCCATTAAATTGTTTCGTGACAACTAAGCCGCAACACATATTGCCTCCAATCCAATCTTTTATGAAAGGACTAAGCACATTGAAGTTGATTGCCATTTTGTGAGAGAGAAAGTAACAAGTGGAGATATTGTTAGTCCCTATGTTAAATCCAAAGACCAAGTAATTGAATTTTTACTAAAAAGTGTGGGTCGATCAAGGATGGATTATATTTGTAACAAGCTGGAACTTTATGAAATATATGTTCCAGCTTGAGGGGAAGTGTTAGAATTGTTAGAATTAGTTGACAAGGGCATTCTTGTCTTTTCCTTGTTATTTTTCTCTCTTATATCTTTTGTAACTTATCTAAGGGCATTATTGTCATTTCAGATTTAATAAAATGTTAATACATGATGGGTCAACAGTAAGGAGAGTTGAGTGAGATTTCTCCTTGCTTGTCTTCCCTTTTTTCTGCCATCTCACCCTCRGGAGTTCACTACCATCCCAAATACACCCTTTAATTATACATTGAAATTAGCTCAGTTTCCATTGGTTACCCCACCCCCCCCCAATACACACCCTAACTTGGCTAATAAATCTTCCATGTTGTTTCCTTCCCTTGGGATCCATCTGAGCTGAACTGTCAGCTTCCTCATCCATTTATAGCAATGCAAAAACTATCTATAGCAATGTGAAACTATGGAAATGACCCAGAGTTTAGATGATGATGATGATGATGATGATGATGATGCAATGACTCAGGCTGCACAAATATGTTCTAGCTTCTGCCAACCTGGATCCTTGATGGGTCACAGTCTTCCAAAAACCAAACTCACCCCACCCAAATTAGCCTATTACTGAAGTTGTCCCACTAGAGGTGGAGCAGGTTGGCTCTCCCAATTAGCCTACTTCATTGCCATCCCTAGGAATACCCTATGCAAATTATCACATAATATAAGCTCACTTAAACCAAGTAAAGTTAGCAACCTAACATTTCAATTAAACGGAAGAAAAAAGGCAAGAGCACTGTATTGTTTTCTGATACCCAAATAGTTACCTCCAGGGGAGTTAGAGGGCACTTGCCATCGATCCGGTTTAAGTCAGGTCTATCTTCACGACCTTCACGTGTAAATTTTCCTCTCCATCCTTTTTCACGAATTTTATCCATTTTTAACTTTTCACTCTCTCCTCCATCATATATGCAGCATGAGAAGGCAACCATATCCTACAAGTTGAAAAGAAACATTACGCTGAGTCAACCCAAAAATCTGTGAGTCCTCTGTAATCATATATTAAAGGACTTGTTCAACATATCAAATTATCAATTGAAAGATTGCATACCTCCTCAAAGCGAAGGTGAACAGACACAAACCTCCCACCAGTCCCTGAGCTCTTCTTGATCATACGGTTAACTAACTTCTTTGCAAACCTTGAAATAGAAGCAGAGAATCTCAATGCTTTGTAATTGGCTAAGCACCTAAGAAATTGAATGTTGTGCGGAACTTCCATTGCCAATCTGTTTGCAAAGGGAGCTATCCGGATAACCCTAGCATCAAACAAGCATGAAGCAAGCCAGTAAGAGAGACCTCAAAACTCAAAAGCTGACGATTTCATGCAAAGAAGACAATTCTGAAAGAAAGTGGCTTCTTGATAATCATCAGTCAGTAGCAGAACCAATTGATCAATTCAATGCCATGCTGTGACACCTGGACACCTATTCATGCCTAGTGTACTACTGTTGCAAATGATTCATATCTGATACAACACAGGATGTTGCATCAACACTTCTAGGGTATACTTTACTTCATCATTAACACTTACTAAAATATATAAAACAAATCCTTTAATGTAGATAATCTCAGATCGCAGATGAGGACAATAATATTGGAATGAACTATCAATTTGTAATATTCCCTGTTAGTATAAATTGATGGAGAAGTTAAGGATATTTGGAAGAAACCCACTCCTAACTTACCAAGGACTGAAGTCATAGATCTAATGAAAGTAGTACAACAGACTAGAAATCTGAATTTGGAAAAATTAGTTGTTGGAGATGATTCAAGATTGGTGACAGGATGGTTACAGCAAGGGAAGGAAACCTTATGACGATAACAGAAATGATTTATTGATCAACAAATAACAAAAATGATTTAGAAAAAAATAATCAGGTGACTGACCCAAGGAATTGAAGTGAGAATTAACTGGGTGCAAAGGACTGCCAATAGCTTGGCAGATGAATTAGCAAAGCATTGGGTGGGAAGAACTCAAATGTATTGGGCTATTGTAACTAAAAAGAAAGAAGAGAGATAATAGAAGCTATCTCTCAAAAGGATCTTGTATATATGTACTTCTTCCTGTTCATCAATTAATAAAATTAAACTGTATATATCCTTGTAAGTTACAAAGCTCCCTAGTCCTTAGATGAATTAGTTAATGGAGGAACTCTCCCATGTTAGACAGGCAGATGGTGAGCTGATTACTACCATTCCTCCTTCTACAGTATGTGAGAGGAGTAAGACCACTGCCTAATTATAAAACCTGATTATTGTTTTTTCTTTTTTCCTTTTTTTTTGTTTTCGGGAATCATTAAACATAATCAAAGAGATTTATTAATGGCAAAAAGCATAATGCACAAGCCCAATGGCACATAATATAAGAAACAAGTAGAGCAAAACTGGTACATCAGAATTATTGGATGAATTAAAAAACTTGTGCATCAAGCCCAACGGCTCACCAAAGATGATTACTATTGTGGAATAATTCATGTGCAGAGTAACAAATGCTAATGAAACAGAAAATTACATAATAAGAAAATAATTGTATGAAGGGAGGCTCCAATCAAACAAGGAAAACTGAAGGTTGATAATTGTGGTAGGAGCATACATGTCAGGTCAGTTGGACCTGATAGGTTGTCGAGTCAAGTGAAATCTGCCAAAATTTTTCTATGGCCCATAATGCTGTTAATATGGTGCATCTGTTAAGTTGACTGGTCATATTAAGGCATGAAAAGGTAATAAGACTACTTGTTGTTTCTCTTAATATTGATAATAGAAGTACACTATAATATTGATCCCACTAAGAGACATGAGAAATGGGATTTAAAAATTGAATAAAAGATTCAGTACCTACCCTTTCTTTCGCAAGATAGGATATACTTCTTCCATGTAATAACTTGCTTCGGCCCAAGCTTTGACCTTGAAGCTCCGAATTTTACTGATGTTGTAATGGTATCTTTCCATCAATACCTCAGGTAATTGCTGAACAATCTTAACATAGCCTTTGAGTGTGGTTATAAAATGGTTCTCATCATAGATATCACTAAAGCCACTGCAAAGTCAAAAAGATAGTTAATGTATTAGGCATCTCCCAAATTTAACATAAGAAATAGAGACATTACTCAATGCTGGTCTTGGCCATCTGTGGTCTTGGTGAGGTAGAACGGGTATGAGCCTATCCTGTGGCAATTTTTGAGCAAAATGGCAACTCTAGGACTTGAGCCCACATTCTCATGTATGTCAGCCCCAGATTTTGCAATGGATCCTAAATTTCACAAGACCATTACCCAATGTTGGTTCTAGACACATGGGGTCATAAGAGAGGTGGACTGGATATGGATAATGGACCTAACCTTCAGCATTTTCTTGTATGAAATGACAGCTTTCAGAGTTGAACCCATGTTCTCAAGCTTGTTAGCCTAATGTCTTACCATTGCACCAAGCAATGGACCTAAATTTAACCAATGAAACAATTATTAAAACTTATTGCTATTGAAATCTCATGGTTGAGGTCCAATAATGACATCCATAATCTAGGGAGCATAAAAACATGAAGTTATTTAATCCTAAAAAATTAATGCAAATTTTGATAAAGGAACTTTATTATTTACAATTCAAAACATACATCAAAAGGGAACAGGGTTCTCCAAGAATAACAAATTTTCCCTCTCAAATGATGACCAGTCCATATCTTCTAATTCTTTGAAATCAATAGACGAAACCAACAAAAAAGTAGCATCCATATATATCTTTAAAACAAAGACAAGCCATCAAAAGAAAAGTGACAAACTTGTTAGGCAAATAAGCAGGCATTTAATCACTAACTACACATTGAAATGTTGAAACATTAAACGTAAATTACTGACTACTCATGTGTCCCTAGTCTGATCCAAGTAAAACTTTCCAAACTGATCTAAAAGTAAAAAAGAATGAGAAGATAAGAAGAAATTCAAAATAAAAGATGGAAATAAAAACATCCCAAGTATAAACTTTTATAACGAAGTGGTCAAATTTTAATTTATGGTTTGACCATCCTTCCAGGAAATACTATCCTAAGCATTTATTTTCTAATATTTCTGATGTTTTTCTTGACTAAAACACCCTTTATTGTCAATTTGGTCCATCCCTATTGCAAGGACAGAAAATATAATTTGAATACTTTTCAATTCATCCCTATTCCCTCTCATTACATCCGAAATTTAAGGTATTAACTCCCATTCTCTATCATTGAATCCTATATTTAAGATATTTTTGTTTCTTATAATTAAATTCCACTATTTAAATCCATATACAACAATATTCATAGTATAAAAACCTATATATTTAAAACCGATAAAAACAAAGCCATCTTTCCATTCAGGTGGTGAGTAAGTAATTCAACCATTTGGGTCAAATGGGTCAACCCATGATCCCATCAACAAATAATAAAAATTTAAAATAGATAAAATAGTCATCTCTAATATTATATGTTCATAATATTAAACAAAAATAAGTATGATTAATAAGAAGTATTTTTATTAATGAAACAAAATAGGACAGCTCTATTCGCTACTCTCCCCGCAATATCATGGTACATTTGGAAGGAGAAAAATCAGAGAATTTTTCAGAACAAGGGCTGCTTAGTGGAAGAATTAATTAAGAAAATAGTGGGCTTCATCCACTCATGGCTGGCTGCAATCGAGGTGAGGTGAATGGCAAAGGGTGGTAATGGAAGCATGGCAAGGAAAAGGCCAGTGTAGTTAGGGGGTAGAGGTCTGAAATGGCGAGAAGGGATCTCGTTCAAAGAGGTGACAGAAACTAGGGCATGGCCGATGGAGGATGAGTGTCAGTTCTTTCACAATGATGGGCTACTTTTCATCGAGACATTGGAGAAAGGTGTGGATCTCCGGGGCAAATTCTTGGAAGGATACCTTGTGGGTAGATTTGCTGCAGAAGTGCCAGAGGTCTCAATAGTGGAGAAATGCGCTCAAGAAGTTTGGAACCTAGCGGAGGAGGTCAAGGTGAAGAAACTAGTGAACAGGCTGTTCCTGTTCATAGTCTCCTCAGAGAAGGAAGCCGAACACATCCAGGGCAGTTCTCCTTGGAGGCTTGGAGATAACGAGCTAATCCTCAACTGGTGGAGTGCCTATGTGGGTGCACTTCCAATGAACTCAAGAGGAAGGATAATCATGAGCAGAAAATTTGCATTCGAGTCTACAGTTTTCCATTGATTCTCTGGAGTCCAAAGATCATTTCAGCAATTGGTGATTTCTGTGGAGGTTTTCTCGCAACTGACAACTCCATGGAAAAATTGGTAACTTGTGAATGGGTTAGCATACAGATGGTGTGGAGGGGAGAAATTCCAATGACTGGAAGTGAAGGTTGGGAATGTGGTGTATGCGGTTCACATTTGTCTGGAACTAGCCCTCAGTGTGGCCGGCAACAGAGTTACATAAATCAGYTAAGATCTTGAGGGAAGTCCAAAGCTGGTGGAGTCTCAGTTGGCCATACCAGTGACCAGAAAATCCCAAGATGGGCAGAGATCGGTCGAGGTGGGGAAGAAAGGTGTTGAGTTGTCAATTGGGTTGGAAGGACAAAAAGATAGAGCAATGGAGACTCCCCCAATTTCTGACAAGATGCTCATACAAAGTCTGAATAAGCAATTTCAAAATTTAAATGAAGTTTTCTATTGGGTCTGGCCATGAAGTAGAGAGGAGTTGAATACTTTGATAGGAGAACACCTTGTGAAGTTGGGTATTCAAGGTGGAGCGGGTAGGGAGAAGCGGGTTGATGGAAGACCCAAGATAATAAGTTAAAGAAATGGCTACTAATCATAGTTGGGAGAATGGGAGGCAAGAAGGATTGCAAATGGGATGGCCGATACTCTAGCAAAACAAGGGGAATATAGGCAACAGTTGTTTTGGGCATTATCGTAAATTTTGTAACTTTGTTGGGAATTGGAATTGATTCTTAWGGGTGACCAGACCTTTTTCCTGTATTAATCAGTTTCATCATATAATAAAATTCTAAGTTTCTTGTTAATCAGAAAAAATGAGAGGCAATTCAGGGGGAACGAGGCTGATAACTGGAGTTAAGRGGCATGGATTTCAAGCTAATGGGCCAGCTGGGAAGGCCTAGTCCATGACTTGGTCCATTACCCCCAATTCAGTTCCACATTTAAACTAGAACAGTGTTAAAATACTTGGGGGGAGAGACTGGAGGATCCTGGGGCTATTAAGATTTGCAAAGGGCAAGGTCTTCAGCCTAACGCAAAGGTGGTCAAGAAGAGGCGATTACAAGTAAATGGAAGAGCATGTCTGAGGAGGAAGAGGAGTCGTTGTCCAATGAAGAACCAGTGGAATTTGGTATCTTAGGCTTTCCGAAGTTTGTAGGAGCTAGCAACCTCAGGGGGTCGGCCTAGCAATGGCCAGTGATGAGAGGTGATAGTTTATAGGGGGAAGAAGTAACTCCTTTATAGGTAGTGGAGCTGTTGACACAAGAAAGGGTGGAGCAATTGCAGGGGATAAAAGGGCACAAGAGCTTTTGTCAATGGAATCAAAAGAGACAATGTCGAATTTCTTCCAGGACTTGGTCTCTATAGAAGAGGGGGAAACCTACATTCCTAGACCAAGTGGACAGTGTGGCAATAGCCTCAAAGTTTTCTTGAAGGTGAGACATTTTCAATTTGAGTGTTATCTAAATATCTGAAGTTTGGGGAATTTCTTGCGGTCTCATTGATAGGGTTAGAGAAGCAAACAAATAAATTTCTTATGGAGATAAAACACAAAATTTTGCAAGAAAAAGGAAAAGCAAACGCCAAAAGTAAGAAGAATGGTAAGCGTAAGTGGGAGTCGTTCAGGTCCACTTGGGGCCTTAATGATAAGGCTGTGTGTGAAGATGACGGGGGTAGGGGAGGAGAAAAGGATGGTGATACCGAGAGTGTCATCGGGGCTGTTTGGAGGTGAAGGGGAGTTAGGAGGCTTGGTTGGAGGATTTTTCTTCTCTCTTTCCCATTTTTATATTTCCTATTGTGATGAAGGTTATGTCCTAGAATGTGTGTGGTTTGTGTTCTAGGTGAAGGGATGAGAGATCCATCGTATGGACGCCCAAAGATTGCAGAATAAGGGGGCGAATTTCAAAATTTTTCTCTCCCTTCAACTGGGAATCACATTCCCTATTTTAGAAAATCATATTTTCAATGATCATTCTTGAACCATGAACTGAACCAGATCTGAATCAAAAGGAGTAGGAGAGGATTATACCTGATACGGAGAAATAGTATCTCCCAACGAARGTGTTCACGCCCAAGGAAGGATCCAAAGACTGCTCCCACTGAAGATGGCGCAGTGCAAGATGGAGCAGAATCAGCAGTGTTCTTCTCTAAAAACTTTGTCCTTCGCAAGAATCAGCAGGATGGCACGTGAGTACAGCTTCCTATCAATTCTTTCTCAAAGAACTGATGTCAAGATCGAATCTTGACTTCTCACACAACTGGAAATCGAACAGGCAAACAGGGCGGCAAGAACAGGGAGGCGACAAGAGAGTATTCGCAGGGATACTCTGCACCCTGCGAATACTCTCTTGTGATTTCAGCACTGAAGAAAATCTGATTGTGTATCCCCTAAAGGCTGCAGCCCCCTCCTTCTTTTGTTAACCTAAAAAGATCAGCTCCTAATCCAATTAGGAGCTGCTTATCCAAATCATATTTGGATAAGACCCATTTTTAGGTGATAGGGATAAACTCGTATCTTATCTGCAGATTAGATTAGCTTTCTCCTAA